GTGCTTTAGCCGGGCGCGACTCGCCACTGGCCTGCAGGCCAAGAGCACGGTCTTGTTGTCAGGCTATAATTATTACGGTTGCGTCTACAACGTGGGGGCGGACTTCGTCATGTTTGCCGACGACGGGTCTGCCAGCACGGTTAATGCCAATTGGGCGTACCTCTGCTTCGGGGAGACCACTACAACTACCACCAACAGCGCGACCAGCATCACTATCACAGGTACATCAGTTTCTACTCTTACGTCAAGTACGACCTCAGCGAGCACCACATCCGAGTCAAGCACACTCACCACAACCACTTCTGCGGCAACTTCATCTGCAACAACACAAAGTACAACTAGCTCACTCACGACCATGACCACCTCATCGCAAACAAGCAATAGTGCGACTACAGCTAGCGGCTCTAGCACCACAACAGTGACCAGCAGTACCACTGTGACAAGTACGACGGCATCCAGCAGTACGACTCGCAGCAGCACCAGCGCCAGTAGCAGCACCACCCACAGCAGCACCAGCGCAAGTAGCAGTACCACTGTGACAAGCACGACGGAGTCCAGCAGCACCACGCACAGCAGCAGCAGTGCAACCAGCAGCACCAGTGTGACAAGCACAACGGGAACCAGCAGCACCACCCGCAGCAGCACCAGTGCCTCCAGCAGCACCACCGTGATGAGCACGACGGGATCCAGCAGCACCACGCGCAGCAGCACTAGCGCGACCAGCAGCACAACTGTGACCAGCACGACGACTGCCAGTAGCACAACCGGGACCAGTAGCACCACTCACAGTAGCACCAGTGCAACAAGCAGCATCACCGTGTCCAGCACAACGGGAACAAGTAGCACAACGTACAGCAGCACGAGTGCAACCAGCAGCACCTCTGTGACCACTATCACGGGAACCAGCAGCACTACGCGCAGCAGCACCACGGAAACAAGCAGCATCAGTGTGACTAGCACGACGGTCACCAGTAGCACCACGCGCAGCAGCACTAGTACCTCCAGCAGCACTAGTGCTACAAGCACGACAAGATCCAGCAGCACCACGCGCAGCAGCACGAGCGCGACCAGCAGCACCACTGTGACCAGCACGACAGGAACTAGCAGCACCACTGTGACGAGCACTAGCGCGACAAGTAGCACCACCGTGAGTAGCACAACGGACACCAGCAGCACCAGTGCGACGAGCACTAGCGGAACCAGCAGCACCAGTGTGACCAGCACGACCGTGAGTAGCACAACGGAAACCAGCAGCACCACGCGCAGCAGTACGAGCGGAACCAGCAGCACCACGCGCAGCAGCACCAGCGACACAACCAGTACGACTCAGACCAGCAGCACCACTCGCAGCAGCACCAGCGCTACAAGCAGCACGAGTCTGACCAGCAGCACCACTCGCAGCAGCACTAGCGGAACCAGCAGCACCAGCGTGACCAGCACAACGGACACCAGCAGCACCAGCGTGACCAGCAGCACATCTCACAGCAGCACCAGTGCAACGAGCAGCACAACAGTATCCAGCACGACAGGAACCAGCAGCACTTCTCGCAGCAGCACCAGTGCCACCAGCAGTACCAGTGTGACCAGTACCACGGGAACGAGCACCACCACACGCAGCAGCACCACGGAAACAAGCAGCACCAGTGTGACAAGCACGACGGAGTCCAGCAGCACCACGCGCAGCAGCACCAGTGCCACCAGCAGCACCACCGTGACAAGCACGACGGGATCCAGCAGCACCACGCGCAGCAGCACTAGCGCGACCAGTAGCACCAGCGTGACCAGCACGACGGAAAGCAGCAGCACCAGCGTGACCAGCAGTATCACTCACAGCAGCACCAGTGCAACAAGTAGCACCACAGTGACGAGCACGACAGGAACCAGCAGCACCACCTACAGCAGCACCAGTGCAACCAGCAGTACCACTGCCACCAGCACCACGGGAACGAGCACCACCACACGGAGCAGCACCACGGAAACAAGCAGCACCAGTGTGACCAGCACGACGGGATCTAGCAGCACCACGCGCAGCAGCACCAGCGCGACCAGCAGCACCAGCGTGTCCAGCACGACGGAGACCAGCAGCACCAGCGTGACCAGCAGTACCACTCACAGCAGCACCAGTGCAACAAGCAGCACCACAGTGACCAGCACGACAGGAACCAGCAGCACCACTCACAGCAGCACCAGTGCCACCAGCAGTACCACTGTGACCAGCACGACAGGAACGAGCTCCACCACACGCAGCAGCACCACGGAAACAAGCAGCACCAGTGTGACCAGCACGACGGTCACCAGCAGCACCACGCGCAGCAGCACCACGCGTAGCAGCACCAGCGCAAGCAGCAGCACCAGTGCAACAAGTACCACGGCCACCAGCAGCACCACTGCGACTAGCAGCACGACCCATAGCAGCACCAGCGCAACAAGCAGCACCAGTGCCACCAGCAGCACCACTCACAGCAGCACCAGCGTAAGCAGCAGCACCAGCGTGACCAGCAGTACTACTCACAGCAGCACCAGTGCAACAAGTAGCACCACAGTGACGAGCACGACAGGAACCAGCAGCACCACCTACAGCAGCACCAGTGCAACCAGCAGTACCACTGCCACCAGCACCACGGGAACGAGCACCACCACACGGAGCAGCACCACGGAAACAAGCAGCACCAGTGTGACCAGCACGACGGGATCTAGCAGCACCACGCGCAGCAGCACCAGCGCGACCAGCAGCACCAGCGTGACCAGCACGACGGAGACCAGCAGCACCAGCGTGACCAGCAGTACCACTCACAGCAGCACCAGTGCAACAAGCAGCACCACAGTGACCAGCACGACAGGAACCAGCAGCACCACTCACAGCAGCACCAGTGCAACCAGCAGTACCACTGTGACCAGCACGACAGGAACGAGCTCCACCACACGCAGCAGCACCACGGAAACAAGCAGCACCAGTGTGACCAGCACGACGGTCACCAGCAGCACCACGCGCAGCAGCACCACGCGCAGCAGCACCAGCGCAAGCAGCAGCACCAGTGCAACAAGTACCACGGCCACCAGCAGCACCACTGCGACTAGCAGCACGACCCATAGCAGCACTAGCGCAACAAGCAGCACCAGTGCCACCAGCAGCACCACTCACAGCAGCACCAGCGTAAGCAGCAGCACCAGCGTGACAAGCACGACTCTGACCAGCAGCACCACTCGCAGCAGCACCAGCGGAACCAGCAGCACCAGTGTGACCAGCACGACGGAGACCAGCAGCATTTCTCGGAGCAGCACGAGCGCGACCAGCAGCACCAGTGCAACAAGTTCGACGGAAACCAGCAGCACGACCGGGACCAGCAGCACCACCCACAGCAGTACTAGCGCAACTAGCAGCACCAGTATGACCAGCAGCACCACTTACAGCAGCACCAGTGCAACAAGCAGCACCACTGTGACAAGCACGACGGAATCCAGCAGCACCACCCGCAGCAGCACCACGGAAACAAGCAGCACCACAATGACCACAACGACAGGAACCAGCAGCACCACGCGCAGCAGCACCAGTGCTTCCAGCACCACCAGCGGGACAAGCACGACGGGAACTAGCAGTACCTCCCGAAGCAGCACCAGTGCTTCTAGCAGCACTACCGTGTCAAGCACGACTGGAACAAGCAGCACCACTGCGACCAGCAGTTCCACCCACAGCAGCACCAGCGTGACCAGCAGCACGACTGGCACCAGCAGCACCACGTACAGCAGTACGAGCGCATCCAGCAGCACCAGTGTGACCAGCACGACGGGAACCAGCAGCACCACGCACACCAGCACCACGCACACCAGCACCACGGACACAAGCAGCACGACGGAGTCCAGCAGCACCACCCGCAGCAGCATTAGTGCCACCAGCAGCACCACCGTGACAAGTACGACTGGATCCAGCAGCACCACGCGCAGCAGCACTAGCGTGACCAGCAGCACCACCGTGAGTAGCACAACGGAAACCAGCAGCACCACCGTGACAAGCAGCACCACTCAAAGCAGCACCAGTGTAACCAGCAGCACCAGTGTGACCAGCACGACGGGAACAAGCAGCACCACTCATAGCAGTTCGAGCGCAACAAGCAGCACCTCTGTGACCACCAGTTCAACCAGCAGCACCAGTGCGACCAGCACGACGGGAACAAGCAGCACCACTCATAGCAGTTCGAGCGCAACAAGCAGCACCAGTTTGACCACCAGTGCAACCAGCAGCACCAGTGCGACCAGCACGACAAGAACTAGCAGCACCACGCGCAGCAGCACCAGTGTCACCAGCAGCACCAGTGCGACCAGCACGACGGAAACCAGCAGCACTACTGTGACAAGCACTAGCGCGACAAGCAGCACCACTGTGACCAGCACGACGGAAACCAGCAGCACCACGCGCAGCAGCACCAGCGCAACAAGCAGCACCTCTGTGACCAGCACGACGGAGAGCAGCAGCACCACTGTGACGAGCACAAGCGGAACCAGCAGCACCAGTGTGACCAGCACGACTCTGACTAGCAGCACCAGCGGGACCAGCAGCACCACTGTGACCAGTACGACGGGAACCAGCAGTACCACCGTGACAAGCACGACTGCAACCAGCAGCACCACGCGCAGCAGCACCACGCGCAGCAGTACCAGCGCAACAAGTAGCACCACCGAGACCAGCACGACGCAGACGAGCAGCACAACGCGCAGCAGCACCAGTGCCACCAGCAGCACCAGTGCGACCAGCACGACGGGAACCAGCAGCACGACCGGGACAAGCACTAGCGCAACAAGCAGCACCTCTGTGACCAGCACGACGGAGAGCAGCAGCACCACGCGCAGCAGCACCAGCGCAACAAGCAGCACCACTGTGACCAGCACGACGGCGACCAGCAGCACCACGCGCAGCAGCACAAGTGCCACCAGCAGCACAAGTGCGACCAGCACAACAGACACCAGCAGCACTAGTGCGACGAGCACTAGCGCAACCAGCAGCACCAGTGCGACGAGCATTAGCGGAACCAGTACGACCGCGAGTAGCACAACGGAAACCAGCAGCACCACGCGCAGCAGCACCAGCGGAACCAGCAGCACCACTCGCAGCAGCACAAGCGACACCAGCAGCACCAGTGCGACCAGCACGACTCAGACTAGCAGCACCACTCGCAGCAGCACCAGCGCCACAAGCAGCACCAGTGCGACCAGCACGACGGAGACCAGCAGCACCAGTCGCAGCAGCACCAGCGCCACAAGCAGCACCACTGTGACCAGCACGACGGATAGCAGCAGCACCACTGTGACGAGCACTAGCGCAACAAGCAGCACCACCGCGAGTAGCACAACGGAAACCAGCAGCACCAGTGCGACGAGCACTAGTGGAACCAGCAGCACCAGTGTGACCAGCACGACCGTGAGTAGCACAACGGCAACAAGCAGCACCACGCGCAGCAGCACCAGCGGAACCAGCAGCACCACTCGCAGCAGCACAAGCGACACCAGCAGCACCAGTGCGACCAGCACGACTCGGACTAGCAGCACCACTCGCAGCAGCACCAGCGCCACAAGCAGCACCACTGTGACCAGCACGACTCAGACTAGCAGCACCACTCGCAGCAGCACCAGCGCCACAAGCAGCACCACTGGGACTAGCACGACGGAGACCAGCAGCACCACTGTGACGAGCACTAGCGCAACAAGCAGCACCACCGCGAGTAGCACAACGGAAACCAGCAGCACCAGTGCGACGAGCACTAGCGGAACCAGCAGCACCAGTGTGACCAGCACGACCGTGAGTAGCACAACTGACACCAGCAGCACCACGCGCAGCAGCACCAGCGGAACCAGCAGCACCACTCGCAGCAGCACAAGTGACACCAGCAGCACCAGTGCGACCAGCACGACTCGGACTAGCAGCACCACTCGCAGCAGCACCAGCGCCACAAGCAGCACCACTGTGACCAGCACGACACAGACAAGCAGCACCACTCGCAGCAGCACCAGCGCCACAAGCAGCACCACTGGGACTAGCACGACGGAGACCAGCAGCACCACTGTCACGAGCACTAGCGCAACAAGCAGCACCACCGCGAGTAGCACAACGGAAACCAGCAGCACCAGTGCGACGAGCACTAGCGGAACCAGCAGCACCAGCGTTACCAGCACGACCGTGAGTAGCACGACGGACACCAGCAGCACCACGCGCAGCAGCACCAGCGGAACAAGCAGCACCACGCGCAGCAGCACCAGCGCCACAAGCAGCACCACTGTGACCAGCACGACTCAGACTAGCAGCACCACTCGCAGCAGCACCAGCGCCACAAGCAGCACCACTGTGACCACCACGACACAGACAAGCAGCACCACTCGCAGCAGCACAAGCGACACCAGCAGCACAACCGTGACCAGCACGACGGAAACCAGCAGCACCACGCGCAGCAGCACCAGCGCAACAAGCAGCACCACTGTGACCAGCACGACGGCGACCAGCAGCACCACTGTGACAAGCACTAGCGCAACAAGCAGCACCACTGTGACCAGCACGACTCTGACTAGCAGCACCACGCGCAGCAGCACCAGCGGAACCAGCAGCACCAGTGTGACAAGCACGACGGGCACAAGCAGCACCACGGTGACCAGCACGACTGCAACCAGCAGTACCACGCGCAGCAGCACCACGCACAGCAGCACCAGCGCAACAAGTAGCACAACTGAAACCAGCACGACGCAGACCAGCAGCACCACTCGCAGCAGCACCAGCGCCACAAGCAGCACCACTGTGACCACCACGACACAGACAAGCAGCACTACTGTGACAAGCAGTAGCGCCACAAGCAGCACCACTTTGACCAGCACGACGGAAACCAGCAGCACCACGCGCAGCAGCACCAGCGCAACAAGCAGCACCACTGTGACCAGCACGACGGCGACCAGCAGCACCACTGTGACGAGCACTAGCGCAACAAGCAGCACCACCGTGAGTAGCACAACGGAAACCAGCAGCACCACTGTGACGAGCACTAGCGCAACAAGCAGCACCAGCGTTACCAGCACGTCCGTCAGTAGCACAACGGAAACCAGCAGCACCACGCGCAGCAGCACCAGCAGCACCAGTAGCACAACTCGCAGCAGCACCAGCGACACCAGCAGCACCAGTGCGAGCAGCACCAGTGCGACCAGCACGACTCAGACCAGCAGCACCACTCGCAGCAGCACCAGCGCTACAAGCAGCACGACTCTGACTAGCAGCACCACTCGCAGCAGCACCAGCGGAACCAGCAGCACCAGTGTGACCAGCACGACGGGCACAAGCAGCACCACGGTAACAAGCACGACAAGAACCAGCAGTACCACTGTGACCAGCACGACAGGAACCAGCAGCACCACTGTGACCAGCACGACGGGAACCAGCAGTACCAGTCAGAGCAGCACTACGGGGTCGAGCAGCACCAGTGCGACCAGCACAACCGAGTCCAGCAGTACGTCGTTGACCAGCATAACTGAGTCGAGTAGCAGCACGTTGACCAGCATAACTCTTACGAGCACCTCCACGTTCACCAGCACGACGGGCACAACCAGCAGCACGACGGAATCGAGCACCACAGAGACGAGTAGTTCCACGCTCACCACCACAACGGGCTCGAGCAACACAGAGTCGAGCAGTATCACATTGACCACCACGACTAAGTCGAGCAGTACCTCGCTGAGCAGCACCAGTTTGACGAGTACGACGGGAACCAGCAGCTCCAGTGTGACCAGCACGACGGGAACCAGCAGCACCACTGTGACCAGCACGACAGGAACCAGCAGCACCACTGTGACCAGCACGACGGGAACCAGCAGTACCAGTCAGAGCAGCACTACGGGGTCGAGCAGCACCAGTGCGACCAGCACAACCGAGTCCAGCAGTACGTCTTTGACCAGCATAACTGAGTCGAGTAGCAGCACGTTGACCAGCACAACGCTTACGAGCACTACCACGCTCACCAGCACGACGGACACAACCAGCAGCACGACGGAATCGAGCACCACAGAGTCGAGTAGTTCCACGCACACCAGCACGACCGGCTCGAGCACCACAGAGTCGAGCAGTATCACATTGACCACAACGACTATGTCGAGCAGTACCTCGCTGAGCAGCACATCCGAGTCGAGCAGCATCTCGTTGACCAGCTCGACTGGGTCGAGCGTCTCGCTGACAAGCAGCACAGGGTCGAGCACCACGGAGTCCAGCAGTTCCACGTTGACCAGCACGACTGAGTCGACGACCTCCGGCTCGAGCACCACTGAGTCAAGCAGCACGACTCTGACCAGCACCACAGGGTCGAGCAGCACCACGCTGAGCAGCACCACTGAGTCGAGCATCACCAGGTCCAGCACCACAGGGTCGAGCAGTACGTCGCTGACCAGCACGACTGAGTCCAGCACCACGGAGTCGAGCAGTACCACACTGACCAGCACTTCTGAGTCGAGTACCACCGGCTCGAGCACCACTGAGTCGAGCAGTACTTCGCTCACTAGCACGACTGAGTCGAGCACCACAGGATCCAGCACCACAGAGTCAAGCAGCACCACGCTGAGCAGCACCACTGAGTCGAGCACCACTCTGTCCAGCACCACTGCGTCGAGCAGTACCTCACTGACCAGCACGACTGAGTCCAGCACCACGGAGTCAAGCAGTACCACACTGACCAGCACCACTGAGTCGAGTACCACCGGCTCGAGCACCACTGAGTCGAGCAGTACTTCGCTTACTAGCACGACTGAATCGAGCACCACAGGATCCAGCACCACGGAGTCAAGCAGCACCACGCTGAGCAGCACCACTGAGTCGAGCACCACTCTGTCCAGCACCACTGCGTCGAGCAGTACCTCACTGACCAGCACGACTGAGTCCAGCACCACGGAGTCAAGCAGTACCACACTGACCAGCACCACTGAGTCGAGTACCACCGGCTCGAGCACCACTGAGTCGAGCAGTACTTCGCTTACTAGCACGACTGAGTCGAGCACCACAGGATCCAGCACCACAGAGTCAAGCAGCACCACGCTGAGCAGCACCACTGAGTCGAGCACCACTCTGTCCAGCACCACTGCGTCGAGCAGTACCTCACTGACCAGCACGACTGAGTCCAGCACCACGGATTCAAGCAGTACCACTCTTAGCAGCACCACTGAGTCGAGTACCACCGGCTCGAGCACCACTGAGTCGAGCAGTACTTCGCTTACTAGCACGACTGAGTCGAGCACCACAGGATCCAGCACCACAGAGTCAAGCAGCACCACGTTGACCAGCACGACCGAGTCTACGGCTACTTGGTCTAGCACGTCGGAGTCGAGCAGTACTTCGCTGACCAGCACGACTGAGTCCAGCACCACGGAGTCAAGCAGTACCACACTGACCAGCACCACTGAGTCGAGTACCACCGGCTCGAGCACCACTGAGTCGAGCAGTACTTCGCTCACTAGCACGACTGAGTCGAGCACCACAGGATCCAGCACAACAGAGTCAAGCAGCACCACGCTGAGCAGCACCACTGAGTCGAGCACCACTCTGTCCAGCACCACTGCGTCGAGCAGTACCTCACTGACCAGCACGACTGAGTCCAGCACCACGGAGTCAAGCAGTACCACACTGACCAGCACCACTGAGTCGAGTACCACCGGCTCGAGCACCACTGAGTCGAGCAGTACTTCGCTTACTAGCACGACTGAGTCGAGCACCACAGATCCAGAACCAGGAGTCAAGCAGCACCACGCTGAGCGTCACCACTGATCGGCACCACTCTGTCCAGCACCACTGCGTCGAGCAGTACCTCACTGACCAGCACGACTGAGTCCAGCACCACGGAGTCAAGCAGTACCACACTGACCAGCACCACTGAGTCGAGTACCACCGGCTCGAGCACCACTGAGTCGAGCAGTACTTCGCTCACTAGTACGACTGAGTCGAGCACCACAGGATCCAGCACAACAGAGTCAAGCAGCACCACGCTGAGCAGCACCACTGAGTCGAGCACCACTCTGTCCAGCACCACTGCGTCGAGCAGTACCTCACTGACCAGCACGACTGAGTCCAGCACCACGGAGTCAAGCAGTACCACACTGACCAGCACCACTGAGTCGAGTACCACGCTCGAGCACCACTGAGCGAGCATAACTTCGCTTACTACACGACTGAGTCGAGCACCACAGGATCCAGCACCACAGAGTCAAGCAGCACCACGTTGACCAGCACGACCGAGTCTACGGCTACTTGGTCTAGCACGTCGGAGTCGAGCAGTACTTCGCTGACCAGCACGACTGAGTCCAGCACCACGGAGTCAAGCAGTACCACACTGACCAGCACCACTGAGTCGAGTACCACCGGCTCGAGCACCACTGAGTCGAGCAGTACTTCGCTCACTAGCACGACTGAGTCGAGTACCACGGGCTCGAGCACCACTGTGTCAAGCAGCACGACGCTGAGCAGCACGACAGAGTCGAGCACCACTCGGTCGAGCACGACCTCTCTCACCAGCACGACTGACTCCAGCACAAGCGTGTCGACCACATCTGAGTCAAGCACTATCTCCCTTACCAGCACGACTGTGTCGAGCACCACAGGATCGAGCACCACGGAGTCAAGCAGTACCACGCTCACCAGCACGACTCTGTCGAGCACCA